AGTTCCTGATTTAAAACTTTTCAACTGCTCTTGAACAGTTTTTATGTCTTGTTTTATTTTCTCAGTAACATTTTTTTTGCTTTTATTTTTTTTCCTCCTGGAACTGGTTTTAGCAGATTTTATTTTTTTGATTTGTTTGTCATCTTCCTTTTTGGTTTCTATTCTTTTTTCTTCCTTTCCTTTATCTACCAGTGTCTCTTTAAATTCCTTCTTTATCATTTCCAAAGATTCTAATTTTTTTTGGTCGCTGGCGGTTTTGTTTTCCTTATTCTTTATTTCTTCTTCTAAAATTACTAATTTTTCCAGAATTTCTATTTTATTTTTGACGTCCTTATGTTTGCTTTCTTTTTTTAATTGGTCGTAGGTTATTTCTTCGGTAATTTTATTTTGTAGTTGTATTTTTTTAGTTTCAGCCGCCAACTTTTTTCTTTTAAAATAATGGTCTAGCAAAACCGCGCAATAACCGGCGGAAGTGATATTCCAATAACAATTAAAACCCAACTAACTGCTTCTGACATGACATCTATATTATTTTTTTTAGTGTAAAGCTTTCACTGAATTAATGCATTAAGCGAAAAATACACTGAATAAGCCATTCAACATTTCCAACAACTTATTCATTTCTCTTTCCCTTTTCAATGCGCTTCCCTGATATGTTGACCTAATAATGCTCTTGACATTTGTTAATTTTCTTTTCATTAATAAATAATTTTCTATATATGCCTATTAAAATTGGTCTAGTTGGTTTTCCGAATGTTGGCAAATCTTCTTTATTTAGTTTTTTAACCAAAAAAGATATCTTAATTGCTAATTACCCATTTGCTACGATTGACCCAAATGTAGGAATAATGCCTTTGGTGGACTCCCGTTTGGAAAAACTAAGTAATTATTGAAAAAGCAAAAAAACTACTTCCAGCACTATCGAAATTGTTGACATTGCTGGTTTGGTAAAAGGTGCTTCGCAAGGTTCTGGATTAGGTAATGAGTTTTTGTCTCACATTCGGGAAGTAGATTTAATTTGCCATGTTATTCGTTGTTTTCCCGAAAAAGAGGTGGTTCATGTGGAAAAGTCAGTTAATCCAATTCGGGATTTTGAAATAATTCAGTTAGAATTAATTTTAGCCGATTTGCAGCAAATTAAAAGGAGATTAGAAAAGAAAAAGGGATGAGGCGAAAAAGCCCAAAAAGAAAAAGAGACTTTGCAGTTAGTTCAAGAAAATTTAGAAAAAGAAATAACCGTTAGTCAATTAGATTTATCCAAAGAAGAAAAAGAAATAATAAAAAGTTATAATTTTCTCACTAGCAAGCCTTTTCTTTTATTGGCTAATTATAGTGGAGAGGAAAGTGAAATTAAAGAATTGAGAGATTATGCTAAGAAAAAAGGCTTGCCTCTTTTTCCCCTCGCGATTAAATTAGAAGAAGAGATGGCAGAGTTATCTCGGGAGGAAAGAGAAGAAATGGGTTGACAAAACACTGACTTCTCTCCTTTGGCCGAAAGAATTAAGGAGTTGTTAGGTTTAAAAACTTTTTTCACTACTGGTGAGGATGAAACGAAAAGTTGGTTAGCGAAAAAAACAATGAATGCTCGTGAGTGTGCTGGCTTAATTCACTCCGATATTCAAAAAGGGTTTATTCGGGTTGAAGTATACAATTATAATGATTGGTGTCAGTTTCCTGGTAAAGAAGAATTAAAAAAGTCTGGTAAGATTCGCAAAGAGGGGACTGATTATTTAGTTGAGGAAGGAGATATTTGTTATTTTCTTTTTGGGAGAAGTTAACATGTCTAAGCATAAACTGACTTGTTTTTTTTTATTTTCCAAAGAAGCCACAATTTAGTATTTATTAATGACATGCTTCCTGAGAATAATTATCTCAGCAAAACAAGTTTAAAAATAATGTTTAATTTTATTGCTGTCTTTGAGAAGAGTTTCAATTTGAGTAGTTTGTTGCTGGGAACTTAGTTGCTCTGATTGACTTTTTGGCGTTTTTTGCTCGTCAATCATTCAATAAATTCATAGAATCTTTGTGAACTTCCCTTTCTAATATTGCTTCTCAGCGTAGTTATTTTAATTAGACTAATATGTCATCATCAGTATATAAGGCTGTTACTCTTTTGTAAATCTTGCCGTTTTGTTCACTTTCTTCATATTCAATTTCAATATTGATAGGAGTTGGACTTTTATTTAAAATGTCTCAACCTTCTTTTACCAATCTTTCGAAGCAAAAATAAGCCTCATCACGGTTATCATTATTCACGATTAAGTAGTAAGGATTAAGATTCTTATCTTCCAGTCTTTTAATCTCAAAATTATTTAATTTAGTGGTTGCCATTGTGTTCATTTCGTATATCGTATATTTATTATTTTATTACTATTTTTAAGTCAGCAGTTAATCTATTACTTAATTTTATCTTTATTATATTTTCCCCCAATTTATTGAGAGGATGGAAGTCTAATAATTGGCTTTTTTGGCAGTGAAAATCAACTTTTTCTAACTCTGCCAAAATTTCTTTAAAACCAACTGAGCCAAATGGTTCACCCTTCTCATCCTTTTTCAAGGTAAAATTGAAAGAAAGATTATTGATTTTATTGTATATTTTTTGGGCCTCTTCCTCTAATATTAAGTCGGCTTGGGCTTTTTTGACTTTCTCTTGTTCCAATCAAGAAAGATTTTTTTCATTAGCAAACAAAACTTGCTTTTGCGGCAAAAGATAGTTTAAAATAAATCCGCGCGGAAATTCTTTTATGTCGTATTTTTCCCCTCACTTACTTTTGTGTAAGAGGATGACTTTTTCTCGTTTTTTCATTAGTTTACAATTTTTTTGGTTGGTCGCTTTCGTAATTTGTATCTATTGACGTTGGGCTGGAAAATTTTCCCTAAGATACTCACCAGAAAAATACTTACAACAAGAACGATAGGAGCAATGAGAGGTATTTGTCAACTACCTAAGGAGAAAATTTTTCTCCGATGTCAAGGAACTTCTGAAGAGGCGTCTGGCTGAGCGTCTCCGCTCTTCTCCAGGCCAGGGAATGCTATGATACTTATAATCGTCGCAATAATGATAAATAAAATTCCTCCTAATCATCACTTTATTCAAAAACTCTTGTTCGCCGCGATTTCGGCTTGCCACTGGTCATAACACCAGGCACATTGGGCTCAACTTTCAGAAGCATGAATGCTACCATAATGTCCGCCATACCCCCCGGCTTGGTAGTCGCCAAAATTCCTACCACCATAAGCACCTCGCGTATAGCCGGAACTTTGACCCTTGGAACTGGCATAAATCGGTTCGCCCTCGTAAATTGGTGTGCGACAAGTCTGACAACTATTTATTATTCTTCTTTCTTGGCTTACCATAGCATATATAAATTATTTTTGGATTTCTTCGTTTTGTTCTATTATTGTATAGGGCAGAAGAGCCATTTGCCGAGCTCTTTTAATGGCTCGGGTTATTTGCCGTTGAGTTTTGGCTACTAATTGAGTATATTGATGATGATTAATTCGTCCCTGACGATTAATGAACTTACGGAGGGTCACAACATCTTTGTAATCGACATATTCGATTCCCTGAGATAAAAAATAATCGGTTTTTGGACCAATTTTTCTTTTTTTTGTCTTAATTTTCTTATCTAAATTGTTTGACATTTTAATTCGTTTCTTATTTGTCTGCCTACCGCTTAGCCTTTGGGTTTACTAAAATCAATTTTTCTTACCTCTTTGACTATCCGGGTTAAATTATCAAGCGGACCAAAAACATTGGCGGAGTCATTATCGAGAAGGGTAAACCCATAGCAGATAATTGAAGAAATACGAGTAATTTTTTTTTCGCCGTCCTTTTCTTCTAAGATTTTTTGGGTTTGTAAATATCCTTCTAAAAGAATAACATCACTTTTTTTTAATTTCTCATTAAATTCTGAAATTAACTCTTTTTCATTGACCCGACAAAAGAAAAGGGGGGATTTGACTCCTTCCCGCGGAGCAGCCAGCCTGAAAGACAATGTTTCCGGATTTGATTTATTTTCCGTGGCTTGTAAATCAGTGATTATTTTGCCAATCAACCTTACCTGATTAGAATTAACTTCGTCAATTTTCTCAAAATCTATATTAGATTTACTAAACTCTACTACTCTTATTAATATCTGACGGCTATTTTTTTCGTTTCTTAAATAGCCACAGACTTCTACCACTTCATCTTTTTTAACTTCTTTTTTAATCCTTTCGGCCATTTCCCCTTGGGCGATACAGCGCAGAATAGTTAGGGAACCACTCGGACAGAGAACCTCAACGCTAAAATAGAACCACGGTTCTCTTTTTTCATTCTCTGTTTTTTCTACTTCACCTTCTGTTTCCTGCGAATCACTCACAAGCCCACTATCATTTTTTTCGCTTTCGTCTTTTATTTCGTTCAGTAAAATCTTACCAATTATTTTAATTTTATTCAGCATCTTTGTCTTTCTTTGTTAATTTAATTTTATTTCTTTTTTCGTCAGCGAGGTTAATTAAAAGATAACGGTTAAGAAATTCTTTGGAGGCAGTTTGTAAAACATTTTTTTCTAACTCTTTAGCCTTTTGTCTTTCAGAATTAAAATAAATTAGAATGTATTTTCCTTCCTTTAATTTGTTAATTTTATAAACCGGCTTTCAGTCCTTTTCTTCCACTTTTTTAATATTTTCTTTTCCCAAAAGTTCTTCCATATTTTTAACCATTTTTTCATATTTTTCCTTATTTTTCTCCTTCTCGTTGAGGAGACAAAGCAATTCATAAGGGCAGTTTACTTTCTTTTTCGTCATAGAGTATTATATTAAACAATTTTATATATATTTATGTATTGAGATATGCATATTTATAGAGATATGTGAAAATATTAAAAGGGAAGGAATTAAACCAAAGAAAGTAATTAGATATAGCATTAAATTTTAATCCAACGCCAAAACCAATTTTATTCCTTTTTCTACCTCTTTAATTAGTCTTTCTTCCAACTTGCCACAGTATTTTTG